GAGGGGACCCAGGTGAGCCAGGACAGGGAGGGGACCCAGGTGAGCCAGGGGAGAGACCCACACAAGTGAGCCAGGGGGCGGGGCAGAATAAAGGCCCACGTGACTCTGTCCCCCTTCCCTTCTAGCGAGTCCCAGCACTGGGGAGGCCAGCTCTGGGTGGGTACAGAGTGCAGCATGGGAAGGGGAAGATGGGCAGCCTGGGAAGGGAGGGAGGATATCAGGAGAGCCACAGCCTGGTGGGTCACCCCTCCCCTCCTCTCCCAGGGCCACTGTCCCACCTACCTGTCTCATACCCCTGTGCTGGCCAGTCACTGTCACCTCCTTCCTCTCAGCTGGTGAAGAAAAGACTGGTGGCCTTGAAGGCGGAGGAGGGTGTGCAGGCAGCCCCCCGTCACCGCGCAGCCCGGTCGGGCCCTGGTCCTGAGTGTGAGGCCGGTCCCGGACTGGGGCTGGGGGTCAGCAACAAAGCCTGCCCAGCAGAGACTGACGGCCAGGACCTTCCGAGGCACGGCCGAGCACACACACACCTGTCCGGGCCCAGAGCCTTTGCGCTCTCTCCCGGAAGGCAGGAGTCCCCCGCAGCCCCGGCCGGATGGCCCCCCTCCCCTCCCCAGGGTCAAAGGTGCCCCTCCGCTCGACCGGGCCCCAGGGACGCACCCGTTCTCAGAGAGGCCCCTCCTGCTCGGGACACTCGAGGGCCAGTGGACGGGTCCAGTGAGGACGAGGAGGAGCTCCCCAGCCTGGCCTTCCTCCTGGCCTCTCAGCACAGCCTGCTGCCCTGGGGGCTCTCCCTGAGTCCCGCTCCTGCCTCGGGCCTCCCCAGCCCTGGAGGTCGGGGGCTGTGGGGGGCTCCCCGGGCCCCTTCTCCTCAGAGGATAGGCCTCAGCCCGGCCACCCCCCCAGCTACCAAGTCCAGGAAGCGGGCTCTGTGTGGGGGCCCAGCCCCTGCTGGGAAGACGCCCCTCACTGGGGCCAACCTCAGGGGCTCCGCGAGGCCGGCCTCGGCCATGGGGCTGGTTCACCCCTCACAGCCTGCAAAGAGAAGGTGTGACTCCTTCGTCACGGGCAGGAGGAAGAAGCGGCACTGTAGCCAGTAGGGAGCAGTGGGGCCGCCCTCCAGGGCCAGTGCACCCCAGGGCTCCTCCTCATCCCGGTGCTGATCCTGCCTGTGGGGCTCGGGGAGGGGGGGGGGATGACCGTTGGGGCAGGGTGGCAGCCGCCCACTGGGGCACTGTGTGTAAATTGGAATAAAGATGGTTTTGCTGGGAAATGTGCGGGGCCACTGTCTTCCTGCTGGTGTCTGTGCCTCTGCATGGAGAGGGGCCGGCCTCCTGGGGCTCCCGTCACCATCGGGACCCCTGAACGTCCAGGGATGGGGAGCCCTCCGCACCACGACCGTTTCTGAGAATGGAGTCTGCAGACAGCCCCGTCTTCGGGGACTCCCCGCTGCCTCCCCGAAGCGTCCAGCCACGGGGCTGGCCGGGCTGGCGACCCTCAGCCCCTCCAGGGCTCCCTGTGTGGGGGCCGGAGCAGACAGGCTCTGGGCCTCTGGCCTCGTGGTGGGAGGAGCGTCTTCCAGTCCCAGTGGGATCATTGAAATAGGAGGGACGGTGGGGGGGTCCTCCTAATCCCAGTGAGGACGGTCGCGGGGAATGGATGAGGGGAGACTCGGGGGCACTGGCCGCAGTGTGCACACGAGAACGCCAGTTGTGGGGCAGACACCAAGTCCCGGGGCGGGATTTCTGGGCCAGACCGACTTCTCCAACCATGCGAGGGGCCCACCTTGCTGTGGACGCAGAGCGAGGGGGCTGGCCAGGGTCCCTGGGTCTGCGAAGACGCCCCACACTTACCGCCTCCCTTCCCTCCCTCGAGGGACCCCTGTGTGAACAGATGTGGACACAGACTCTCATTCTCACGTGAAACGGTTCCTACAAACAGACCCCAAACACCACGCAGGAGCGCAGCCCATCCCGGGGGCCGGGGGCCCAGGCATCTGCAGCCCCAGGGCCGGCTGGGAGCTGGGCTCCAGGCTGAGGGGAGCCCTCCCGGGGCGCTGGCACAGCCGCCACGTCAGATAGGCCATCTGCCCGGCTCGTGACAGTGAGATGAGCCGACACTGAGGGACAGGAGCTGCACAGGGAAGGGACCCTGCTGCTCCCACAGCTGCCTGCCCCCGCAGTCTGCTCACCTCCCCTCGTGGCTGAGCTGGTGCCCTCCAGCCCCTAGCCCCGCCCCGCCCAGATGCTCTGATCCCAGGAGCAAGCACGGCACCTTCACCCTCCTCCCTCCCAGCCAACGCCTCCTCCCCAGGTTCTAGGTTCTGATGCCTTTTCCAGGTTTGGGCGAGGCCCCTACAGCGCTCGCCACTCACAGATGTGCGTCCCTGCAGCAGCACGGGGCCAAGGCCATCCGGGTCCAAGGGACGCCTGGCCCTCTGCTTGCCCCCCCCCCCCCCCCCCCCCCCCCCAGCAAAGAGCTCAGGCAAGAAAGGAACTCATGCCAGGTCCTCGTCCCGCTCCACAGCCACCCCACAGGTGCTCTTCCGCTGCCTTCCCTCCCTCCCTCCCAGGCAGGCGGCTCTGGAGTGCTCCCCTCCCTCCTGCCCCTTCCTGCAGCAGAGGTTTCATCTTGGCCGCACTCCCCAGCGGCTGCCCCTCCCTGTCCAGCCTGGCCTCCCCAAGACGAAGGGGCTCAGGGGCCCAGCCGGACGCAGACAGAGGTTGCCAGCCCGTGCGCGTCACCCCACCGTGTCCCTGTCCATGGTGTGCGCTCGGCAGGCGCTGGATGCGCACGGCGTGGGCGAAGATTCGCCTGCGTTCCTCGGAAAATCCGAGGTCAGTCCAGTGGCAAGGAAAAAAACGGAGAAACGTTTCAGATTTTCATGGCAGCCCACCTTCCTCATCACAGAACGAGTTAGGAGAGGTAAAAGCTCGCGGGGACCGCGTGTAGGGCAGAGTCGGGAGGGAGCTCCCGGTAAGTGGGAGAAATCTGCGGGGATGAGGAGGTCACCCCGCGGCCCGCGGGGAAATCGCGACGCTCACACAGAGCGGGGCCAGCTGTGCTCTGCCGTCCAGCAGGGGCAGCTCCCGGTCAGCTCGCTGGGTCTCCACAGAGAGCCTGCGGGGAGCCAGGCCTCACGCTTTCCCGAGAAAGCTCCCGTGGGCTCTGGGAGGCCTGGGGACTGAGGGCAGTCACGGGGTGGCCCTGTCAGTCGGCCCCGCGGGTTTGGCCGCAGATCCTCCTCCCGCTCCTCTAGGACGAGCTCCAGCACTGGGGTCATGGAGTCCTGGGGAGTCCCTCGGATAGAGGAGCACTCCTGTCACCACTGACGACAACGCTTGCCTTCTGAGGGCACCCGGGAAGGTCAGGCCCCCGTGACCACCCTTCCGTGGCTGCACGTTTGTTCGTTCAGAGATGCGTGTGCCCCCCAGGCTGCTGTGCACACGGTGGGAAGAGGGGAGCAGCCGGCTTGGGGAATCTCCGCCAGGCGCCCCCCCCCCCCCCCCACACTGTGCTCGCCCAGCGGCTGATAACGGGGGAGTCCTGCCTGCGGCCACGCCTCCATCGATCATCCGCCGTCCCTGGACACAGGTGTCACAGGAAGCTCCGGCAGAGAGAGATGGGGTCTGGGGCTGGGTATTCGGACAGAACGTGAGCCGAGCTGGAGTCATTCCTGCTCAAGTATCTGCTCTGGAGAGTCTGGGCTTGGAAAGTCCCCACTTGGCCCCACGACCTACTTGTTGACGGGACCCTCCTCCAGACAGGCTGTGGCAGGAGAGCCCACCACCTGGCACGTCTCCTGGGAGGGCCCTGGACATGCCTCCCTGAGTTCTGAGGGCCCGCTCCGTCTGGGATGCCTGTGTGCAAACCTGGGCCCTTGGCGCTCATTTTAGGAAAATATCTTGGGGTTAGGCTGTGCTGTCTGAGGGTTCCTTCTCCTTCCTCCCCACAGTCTCTGAAGGTCAGAGTCCGCCCTCATTCCATCATTTGTCCTTTGGAATGTTCTTTGTCGTGGTTCATTCTGAAGATCCTGTTTCAGGGACGTGTGTTGTGTGAAAGTGTACAAGGTGTATGGACATTGAGAGATGTCTTCCGCCCACGAACACAAACTACTGAGGAATCCCTAAGGTTTTTGTAGCTTACAAGGCTCCTAAAAATATATAAATAGAACAATTGTTCATGGTAAATTGCTCCTGTATCTTGCAATCCAATGTAGATTTTTCTCCTAGTTATTGTGCTGAGGTAAAGCCTCCAAAGCATATACGAACAGACAAACCAGTGGCAGTGGGAGCTGGTGGTGTCATCAGAACCAACAGCGGGATTCAGATCATACCCCATTCTTCCCTCCCCATTGTTACCTGGACACTGGCTTTGCTGGATCCCTTTGCTGTCCCAGAAAGCAATGGACATTATACTCTCCTGTCTGGGTACTTCTGATAAATACGTGTTCAGTAGCCTGGGGTTCATGTTTTCCAGGCATTCCCCATTGGTTACCCTGCAGGCAAATATTGAGAATATCTAGATAAAATTGATAGTAAAAGAGTTTGCTCCAATGATATTTGAAGAACCCTCATAAAGGAACTGAACAAACATAATTGCATTGTACTCTAATGTGTTCAAAACTTAAACTTTAAATTATATATAGATAAAAATGAGGGTAAATCTTTTCCCCTGAGTTCAAAAACAAGGCAAGAATATCTTCTCTCATCCCCTTTCCACTTACTATTATAGGTTCTAGTTAGTGTAGTATAGCAAGAAGTGGAAATACAGGCATATGGTTTGGAAAAAAATAAATATTCCTGTTATTATTTGCAGATGACATAACTGTCTACATAGAAAATTCCAAGGACCCTATGAGAAAACTCACAACAAGTTATAATACATTACTTTAGCAAAGTCTTAGAATAAAAGATCAGTATAATATGCAGCTGATCATATTATCATAGACTAGCAACAAACAATTAGAAACCAAAATTTAAAACCTATATCATAGTTCCCTCCAAAATGAGATGTTTGGTATAATATTTTAAGAAATATAGAGGACCCGGACAATGAAACTCATAGAACTAATGAAAGCAAGCAAGACTAAGTGAGTGCAGAGAGGTATTGTTTGCATGGATGGGAAGAGTCGATGTAGGAAATGTTAATTCCTCCCAAATTGATTTACAGGCTTAAAATGCAATTCCTATCAGCTCCCAGTAGGACTTTTCTTTGGTCAAAATCAACAAACGTATTCTAAAACTTATATCAAAGGGCAAGGAATGTTGAGCTATGAAATTGTGGATTAGGAAAGTCCAAGATCTTGTTTCCCCACAGAAATGTCACAAGAAACAAAACAAAAAAAGCCCCAGAAACTTTTCAACCAACTTTATAGGAGCTCTGGAAAATAGCCATAGGTTTCCAGTGACGGGCACACGCCCAATGAAAGAAAGAAGCAAGTTTTGTGGCACTGTTACCTGCCCCCAGCCCCCGCATGGCTATGGTCTCCGTCTCCGGCCAGCAGCAGCCTGGTTTCTGGTTCCCCTTCTCCAACGTGAGGGAGCAGACCAGACCTCATTTACAAATAATTGTGTGCCATCATTCTCATCTGTCTGGGGGTTCCTGAAGGCCTGATGCCAGATGTTCGTGTCTGTTTGCATCGCTCAGACACAGGTGGGAAAACGAGTGGGCGCTGCCCGTAAACTACAAGGTCACTCTGAACCAGCAGACACCTGACTCAGGAGACTGTACAGACATGCAACAGACCATTTCAAGCCCAGGAGATAGGCTGACGGTGAGACTTTGGGAAATTAGGACTTTCAAAAGCAGTGTGTATACAGGGGAATTTAGGAAGCCATGTGCAGGACAGGCAAGACTCGTTCAGGAAACTCCTGACAAGACCCCACGCTTCCACCCCAAGCTGACCCCAGGCCCAGAACAAGCCTAGCTAAGTGAGGCACAAGGATCCCAGCAGTACCTGAGGAGGAGGCTGTTCCTTCTTACTGACTAAGTGTACAGGGGACCCGGGGGGGGGCCCTGGAGTTGGGGGGTACAGGGCACTTGGGTGGGGTCCCCTGCAGTCTCAGGGTGCAAGAGACTCGGGTGGGGTCCCCTGCAG